CATCTACTGAAAATTTGCTGGCAAAGAGGGTTAAGATATTGTTTGTTAATAAGTTAACAGCTACCAGGAGGTTCAACTAAAATTAATATGACATGTTAAAGAAAATCCATGAATTCTAAATACATCTGTCTTCGTAGTGTACCTGAGTTTTAAACTGTAGCTCTTGTATCAGTCTGAATAGCATGCACCACCCCAAACAAACTGGGAGGGGAAAAAGTCTAGTCTGTGTAACTGTTAATAACAACAATGACAACAATGACATTTAGACATTGTTCTGAACATACAAATCATCACTTATAAAATATCTTATGTAAAACATACTCTAAAGCAAAGATTTGAGCAATGTGGGAAAGCATCTCTGGACTTCCATATCCTTATAAGTAGAAAACTACACAGTGAAACCATTACAATTAATATCCTAATAATTCATCTCAGTCTGCCTAGATTTAACTGGAATCAGCTGAGGTTTTAACCAACAAAAGTTTTCATTCTTCAGTGCCATGGGGCTACACTGCTGTCTAATAGCACATAAAAGATGAACAGAATTCATATGCATCAGTTTCTCACAAAATTATGCATAAAATGAGAATCCTGCACTGCTTCTTTCTATATTCCTCCTGTTAATGAAAAGAGAGTTTCATTTGCAGATCAGGAAAAGGTAAATAGGCACTTGCCATCATCTGAATTACTAATAATTTCTAATTAAGAACAGATTGGGTCAGTAATGATGCAGATATTGTCTCTAAATAATTCACCAAAATTGTCAAATAAAACCTTTCGTTTTTTTCACACATGAAAACCCAATGCAGATAGAAAAAAACTGAAGTCCTTCTCAGTTATGAAGACTCTATAAAAACCTTCTTTTCCATTTTTCCTTTAATTTTTTAAAAGCCTTTCAAAACAAATCAGAAGGGATATTTCCTGAGTAGTTACGATCGAGTTATTCTTCCTCTTCTTCAGACACACTTTTTTCTTTCTTCTTGTGTCAAACACTTGGCAAAAGATTTCAAACATATTAATTACTTCTCCAGAAAATTAATTAAAATATTCACAAAACTGCCTTCCCCCAGCTTATGAAATTAATGAATCGCTAAAATATGTAGATGAATTCTTAATGTTTTCTTCTCTCTTTGGCAGTTAAAGATGGTGATGCAGTGAAAAGTGACTTTGCCTCTTGGAGCTATGACAGGACTATAAGGGGAAAGATGCACAGCCAAGAGGTCAAGGACTTGTTGTTACTGGGAGGAACAAAGTGATGGACATTCATCCAGTAAAAAAAAAAAAAAAAAAAAAGCAAGCAAGCAAAAAAATCCAACAAACCCACCAATATTTCCATGCCTAAAGATGTAAAATACAGGTTTCCATTACTTAAGTTTCTCTCAAGTGTAGTAAGTGCTAAAAAAAGACAGGAGTAAGGCAACACTAAAGTCTCAAAGCCTTGCTAGCCTTATTTACCTGTGTATTGACAGTTTGCATTCATCTTGGACAAATATTGCTCAGACTTAATGAGAAATTTTAATGTTGGCAAATGGACTACATGGATAACTTCTCTAGGCTTACAGGAATTCATTGCTGTTTCTAACTTGTTACCTTTGAAGAATCTATACATTTCTCTCCATCCAGAGCAAATTTCTAATATTTCTTGTGAGCTAAACACATTTTAACTCTGTCTTACATAATGCTGCATTTGTGCTCTATGAACTGAAGAGACAGAATTCACTGAAACACTGTTTCTAATGGAATTAAAATATAAGAATTTTCCAGAAATCCACTAAAGAGAAGATTATTCCATATGGAGAAACCTTTCACTAAATCAAAGATGAAAGTTCTGAACTCACACAAAAAAAATATTCAGCCATTCATGTTGCAATTTCTCATCAAAATTAGCAAGGCAACTTATTTAAGAAGATACATGTTCATTTAGGAGTCTTCACAAGGTCAGGACTAACTACAGCTAAGGGGTAAAGAGCCAGACTGAAAGATTTGGTTTCAATTTTCCTGAAATTTGAAGACAGTTGTGTCCCAATTATATTTAGATTTTTTAAAAAATCATCTTTAAAGATGAAAGATCTTTCTGAAATTAAACTACTAAAAATCTAACATTCTGGGAAGGGATGCTCAGCTAGATCCATCCCAACTCTTCAGCTCAGGTTTCAGCTCTGGTAAACAGAAAATAAGCAAATAAACCAATGCAAAAATACAAGTAAAATACATTGTGTTTGCCACTGATTTCTGTGGTTTTGCAAGTATAAACATTTCAATTTCTTACATGGGAAAGCATAACAAAAAAAGCATCTGTACTAGTAAACTTCTCAGTTTACTTCAAGAGCATCTTGTAACACACTACAAGTTCTTCACAATATCAGAGACACCACTAGCTGCTTTTTATCAATATGTACATTGAAACACTTCACCTATCTAAATGTGCATGTAAAATATTCATATTTTTTAATTTTATTGACAACTAAATTCAATACAAGCCAAAGTTGACCTTTGTGGTGACTAAAGCAGATTTAGATGAAGCCATATGTGCACCATGGATTTTCCTGACACCCACAAAACTGAGATTTTTTTCACTATTGCTCTCTGGTACTTTCAGCACATTCTAGTTTCTGGGGTTTTTTTTCTGACAATGTCCCTTTATTATAGAGAAATAAATTAGGTGTTTCATACCTTTGGTTGGAGATTTGGATGAAGTAGCACATACCCATTAGGATCGATTGCAAAATAGTATCCATTTGGACAAAGCTGAAAGAAAGAAATGAAGTTCAGGATTATAAGGTCTTAAGTAATAAAGATTAATTGATAGTTTTCAAGAAATTTTCAAACTGAGGAAAATACACATCCTCAATAACAAGAAGTATCTGAGATATTAACATAGTGAAGATAATTTCTTAATATTTAGTCATTTAGGATCATAAATTTGTAGAATAATTTAGGCTGATGGGACTTCTGGAGGTTAGCTGGTACAACCTTCCCTGAAAATCAAGCTAAAAATCCAACTTTGAAGTTGGACTAGCTTTCAAAGGGTCTTTGAATATTTTCAGTGGCATTTGCACACCCTCTCTGGGCAACCTGTTCCCTTTTTTTTCCTAAATTCCAGCTGGAATTTCCATTGCCACACCTATGTTGATTGCATCTCTTTTAGGCAATGCTGAGGTCCATTCTCTATTTAATTCCCATTAGGTAACACATTGGGTTCCTTCTTCAGCCTGAATATGTCTGTCTTATCTTCTCCTTCTGTACTGTATACTCCAAACCCTTGGCCATTTTAGTGGCTCTTCACTGGGCCTCAGTGTATTTCTCATCCTGATGAGATGAAACTTGGACAGAGCACTCCTGATGGAGGTGCTCACCATGCAGTTGGTTGTCTTCACTGTCAGGGCACAGTGCTAACTTATGTTCCTCAATGTCCCTCCTGAACTGAGGGGCCCAGAACTGAGCACAGGATTCAAGGTCTGACCTTACACCTTGAGACAAACACTCAACTAAAGAGCAGTACTTTAAGCTACAGGAAAATAATTACTTGGCATCTATCCTCCAATGCAATAGTTGTCTTTTACAGATGTATCCTGATGGACAAATCACACAGAAACACATGTAGGGCTAGAAAGAAAACAACCAGAGAATATGCAAAAATAGAAAAGAATGTAGGAAAAGAAGTCTGTTGGTGTTTTGACTCAAATCCAGTCACTGCTGTATGACTTATGAAAGAACATGCACAGAAATCATAAATAAATCATACATAAATCTGCTTACTGTAAATCGGGGTGTCAATTTTTTGATATCTTCTAAAGAGACATCAACTCCCATTACTCCAAGGATCAGCTGATTCTGGTAAAATTCCAACATGTTAGTGTATGTTTGGCATATTTACAATGCAGAATAACTGCAACAGTCAGTAAAGTTTTGTTTTTGCCTTCATCTTTTGTTTTACAGACACCATTTGAGAAGTTGCCTGTTTTCTTATGTGTCGAGTCCAAATATCTTACACAATGTCAAGGTGATTCAAAATAAAATCCAGTACATTCCAATCTAGTATAGAATATGAGCTTTGTTCTGAAGATGAATATGGATACTTTCCTGGATGAACAAAGGATATATGTAAGAACCAAACAGATGAAAGCAAAAGTGATGCGATAAAATTGCCAATTATGGAGATGCTAAACTACTAGCACCAACATAGAGCCACTATTGCTTGCTTAGGTTGGGCAACTGGAAAGTGAGACTTCAAAACAATTAACTCTTTTGGCTATGGTATAATGATGAATGAAAAAACCCACAACAAAAAAAACTCCAAACCACAGAGACTGTAAGAATCATTAGCTTTTGAACTCAGGGACTCAGCCGCTACATTTACTTCACTTGTAATTTATTTTTCTGCTACAGGAAAGGAAGGGAGTCATTTCCATGCTATCACCTGAACCCTGCTCCATATTAAATAAATGTGGAAAATTTATTGCAGTATGTATTTTGCAGTCTGTGAATAAATTCAGGGAGAGATACAAGTCGAGCACATTCAAGTTCTCTTCTTGTTCCTCTGTGCTAAATCACATCGGCCCTATTTCTTAGAAAGACATCCTTTGATAACCTGCAGCCTCTCACTTTGAACCAGACTCAGTCAATTCCAGGCATTGTCTTACTGTCTTGTAGATAAGATTATGAAACCTTTTTTTTTTCCTGCTCTGTTTTTAAAGGGAAACTAAGAGGACTATTCTGAAAGGAAATAAAAGACATGGTAGGGATCAAATTCTCATTTATTCATACAGAGTCTATGTAGTATGTATGTAATTAGATGGCAAAACTATGTAGCATCTGAGAAACCAAGTCAAAGAATTTCTTGTCTAAATTTCTGTATATTTTGCCCTGAACGAATATGAGTATCACACCACATGTACAATATTTTATCACACACTGTAAAGCACATTCAAGGTTTTGATTTTTGTGAAGAGGACATGAATTAATTCCATGTCAGACAGTAATAGGAATGGGCAATTTTATTTGACACTTAGAATTTAATCTCAGTGTACAGTGCTCTTTTCTATTACAGTTACAGCCAACTAATTGAAATTGTCTACATCAGTGTCTTTTTCCTGAATGTCATAGCGTCAGAGATATGTTATAAATTTATCTAGACATTCCTTTCTTGGCAAGGTCTAAATAATATCATCATCTATTTCCCATCTACTGAGCACTGAGTGCATTCCTCTGGTCACCAGGTCACAGTGATAGGTCATGGAACGTCATACCCTGAAACTCAGAATGACAAAAAGGGTAACTGCATGTTCTTGTTCCCACGAGGTTATCAGGTAACCAGATATGACCCCTTTGTTTCTGATGCACAAGACACTTAAACTGCAGAACACTCTATGAAAATACACATTTTTCCAAGGCACTTAACATTAAATTTAATTCAAATAACTTTTTTCCCCCCTTTAATGAATAGCTTACGATTTTCCCATTTTGTTCCTTTGTTAGATTGAAGACAGGTAGAGTTCCTGTAATCACAAGGCCCAGCTCCTAGGAGATGACCACATAAAGAAGGGAAAAATTACTTTTTAGTTATAAATATTGACCTATAATATATTAGAACAATCCTAGGATTAGTGCAGCCAAACACTGAACTTCAGTCTGTAAAAGTTAAGCAAGTCAAAACAACAAATGCTACTTCATTGACTCAATGAAGAGAAATTACATTAAGTTGAAATTACATTTTCTTTATGTCCATATATTACTAGGAATATTATATTACTTTTTAAAAATAAGTTTTCCCCTCATTGATGCTTAATCCTTCCATGTATTTTATTGAGGAGTCATATCACTTTTCTTCGTTTCAACGGCAAAAAAAAATAATCTAAAATACTATATTAATCCACTGTGATGAAATCTGTCTAGTAGCACTTTTTTGAATTTTAAACCATCCTTCATGAACATCTGTGTATCAGAGATGATGTCAGAGTTAGTGAAGTTACAAGGTGAAGAGTAGAAGTGGAATTTTAGGAGAAGAGAAATGGGGATGAATCAGTAGAAAAGAGAAAGGACATTATTTAGATGATGCATTGAAGAGATACATAAAGAAATAGGACAAAATCACCTCCCTCACCCCCCCAGATAAAAAAAATTACAGCTAGAGGAGGCAATAATTATGAAAAAATTATGCCTAACTGGTAAACCTTAAAGTATCTGGGATTATTCTGCAAAAAAATGAGGCCAGAGCAACATGGTTAGAATAGAACCTGAAGGAACAAGGCTGGAAAAGAGATGTGAAATGCTACAAATGCATCAAATTCTTAAAGACAGTCTTGAATAACAGCCTCAAATGAAAGTACTTCTTTCCAAATTCATAATCTGAATTTAAGCACAACTCTAATGTGGCCTCATGCAATACACTTTGCATTTCTTCAGCCTTAGTCCCAAAACAGCTGCTGGAAAGTAAAAAGCAAAAGGCTAAGAAAAAGTCCAGTGAGGCACAAGCAGGAGAACTGTAAGCCCTAAAAGAAGGATTTGTTTTAGGGAATTTAAGATAATTAACCAATATTGTAAGTTAGTCCAAGTCCCTTATAAAACCAAACATCAGAGTGGGTTAGATCACCTGTGCTGAGAAAATCCAGAAATTTCAGCCTTTATCTCAATAGTTTACCTTGGGTTGTCCTACTTTTTATATAAATCTTTATATCTATATCTATACAAAAACATATATATGACACATGAATGGAGAAAAACTTGAATAAAAAGACTTGAATGAATCCACTGAATGTAAAAACTAACACAACAGGTATCATTTTACTTGACTAAACAGATCTCTATCCCTAGCTATAAATTTATCTTTGGCTTTACAGCAGGATATGTACAGAACATATGAACTGTTGTCATCACATCCTGTATGTCTCCAGGAAGTACCTCAGCAATAACCAAGAAAACCTGGTTAATGAACTTCTGGGCATTGAACTTCCACGCTCAGTCTCACGCTCAGTTATTTTGATGACGAAAGTTATATGTTGATAAAAATGTCACAGCAATGTTGACTGATGGGAAGAAGAAGAGGATTTTGACATGACAGTAGATGACTACGTGAGCTTGGATAAATCCATGATTCCACATGACCATTTTGCATCAAATTTTGCCTTGATAGAGTCACTCAGAAAGTTATCTAGAGCAACAGATTAGATTGCTGCTAATAATACTCTGCCTTTCACAGTTTCCTGAATTTTTTTGTTTTACAAGACCAAAGTGCTAAATTCAGCAGTAAGAAAGCATTTCATGTGTCTTTTTGTTTATTTCCCAATTATAGACACTGTCCAATTAACAAAATAATTACCTTGAGCAAGTAAGCAATTTCAACAACTTCAACAGCTTAAAGATCCAAGCTCAAAATCCATACAAATATCCAGTAATACTGACAAATTTCATTCTGCCTGGAATAATCTTTGGAGGGTGTGGGAGGGGAAGAGGAAAAACGACAAACCAGTAACATAAATGACCTTCACTGCAGCACGTACGACTGTGGAAAACTATCTGCTTCTTTTTTCTTCTATTAAATTGAGGTCAACAGTGACCTACACTTGAAAATCTGTCTAGAATCATAGAATCATCAAGGTTGGATGAGACATCTAAGATCATCGAGTCCAACCATTAACCTGTCACTGCTGGAACCCCTAAACCCTAAATCATATCCTCTAGTGTCAGATCCAGATGTCTCTTAAATATTTTCAGAGGTGGTGACTCCATCACCTTCCTGAGCAATCTATTGCAGTGCCTGAACACCCTAACAGACAAAAAAAATTTCCTAACATCTAAGGATAAATTGCTTTTCTTTGTTCAATTTCAGGACACTCAGAAGGATACAAGGTGTAAGTAATGACCAGAATGTTAGAAATAGCTCTATTGCTAGAGATTGTCCTACTGAAGTGTATAGATGTATATAGTTGCTGATTTGCTAAAATTCTTACTTTACTAGAGATAAATACAGATCATACCAGAGCATCCAGATAGACATTTGTCCATTGGACTTGTTTGGCTTTCTCTCCAGCTAAAACCATTGGCCTTCCCAAAACATCCAGATATTCCTGCCAAAAAGCATAAAAAAAAACTCATCAGAAGGCAGTTACTAGATCAAAGAGCACAAACAACATAAAAATCAACAATAATGAAAAAAAAACCTATTAAAATATGAGAGAAAAAAAAAAGCAGCAAAAATTTACCACTCCCTATTAAAATATGAGAGAAAAAAAAAGCAGCAAAAATTTACCACTAATACAGGAGCAGCATTTGATTACTTCTTTACAACTATACTACACAAAAATTGAGCCCCCAGTTTGTAGTATTTACTGACAAGGTAATTCCCATACTTCAGTCTCAATCACATGGACCTTACAAATCCATAACCACCACTCTCTTTCCACAAAGTGAGAATTACAACTGTGTTTGTTCCAAAATTAATTGCTAATGACATAATGAAATTACAAGCAGATTGCAGAACCTTCAAACCAGCAGAGAGAGTGGGCGATGGAGGGTGAGTGGTGTAACAGCTGGGTATGTTAAGCTCCTACAGCAACAACTTGCATAACTTCTATTGAAATTAAAAAGAAAATCAGAGTTATAAAACCTCAGAGTTCCTGTCGTTCCTTCAGTTTGGGAGTATGGCTAAAGCTGGTGATCTTATGAGATGTCAGATTTTTGGACTAGTTTGGGAGTAGATGCCATCAAACTTCTTGCAGTCATTAACCCTTTCTACTTGTCTGATCTTATTAGGGATATTTCTTGTCAGACACTATCTGGAAGAGTTTAACAGAATCAAAGGACTTTGACTCAAGCCAAAAAAAGGACTCTTATTTTCTGCCAAGACATGTTATGCCTTGTAAGGACAAAGAACTGCTATGATATTTCTCTGCTGTTCTGAACATGGGAGTACATGGACTTTAAGACAACTGAAAAGAATACTTGTTCTTCTACACTATCAGCTTGGATCACATCCTATAATGTCAAAGTCCTGTGCCCTTGGTTATCTTCATGCACGCCTGCTAAAATGTTCCTGTGTCCCTTTTGAAGGGAAAAAGTGGTGCTGCTCACAGAGCAGTTGGATCCATCTAGGAATGTCTCCCATAAGTCAGGGACCTCTCCTACAAACAGGATTGTACTGTGTCTGCCCAGATGAGTTCAGATGCTCTAGCAGAGCTCTCTCTTCACACATATCCACAGCCTTCTCCACATAATACAAACCCCTTTGGATCTTACTGTAAGTATGGCAGGAGCTGGACTATGAATTATAAAATGTTACTGGGTTTATAGAACTTTATAATAAAATTTCAGTCATGTCTCAGCATCAAAGTTTAAGGGACCATGTAAGACCGGGAGGAAAGCTGAGGCCAAAACATAGTCCTTGTGCAGGATCCAGAATGCTTTGGATGCTCTGCTGTGTGCACAGGGTCAGTCTGCTGTAGAATCATAGAATCACACATTTTTAGGGGTTGGAATGGACCTTAGACATCATCTAGTCCCAAGCCCTGCCCTGGGCAGGGACACCTCCCACCAGAGCAGGTTGCTCAAGGCTCATCCAACCTGGCTGTGAACACTGCCAGGGTTGGGGCAACCACAGCCTCCCTGGGCACCCTGGGACAGGGTCTCACCACCAGAACAGGGAAAAACCTCTTCCTGATATCTAACCTAAATTTCCCCTCTTTCAATTTGAACCATTACCCCTTGTCCTGTCACTGCAGTTCCTAACACAGATCCCTCTGCAGCTTCCCTGGAGGCCCTTCAGATATTGAAAAGTTGCTCTGAGGTCTCCACACAACCTTCTCTTCTCCAGGCTCAACAGCCCCAACTCCCTCAGCCTGTCCTCACAGGGAGATGCTCCAGTGCTCTTAGCAACTTTGTGGCCTCCTCTGGACTTGCTCCAACAGTTCCATGTCCTTCTTATGCTGAGGACACCAGAACTGCTGGTGCAAAAGATGCTAGAAGAAGCTAACATGACTAGCTGCATGCAAGCTGCTGGGGGCCAGCTGGCCAGGGAAACAGGGATCACATTTTAAACTGGCTCACTGCAACCACTTAGAATACTTTTAGAGCATAATCAATCATATACAGAAGAAAGCCTTGATTTTTTTTTTCTCTGTTCTAAATGGAGTGTATCTTCAGATTTAATTGATTCAAGCAGAGATGAAAAGCAAGAATATTTGAGAAGAGGAATTACTTCACTTCTCTGTGTTAAAACCCTATCTGGATTTGGACCACACACTTACCTGGGTGTTTATTCTTATGGCTCCAATAGATGGAATTTCATAATAATAACCTGAAATTTGAAACAGAAATAATGCCATCTTACAATCATATATTCCTAGTCACTTAATCTCGAGAAATTTCATTCATCTTGTAATTTCTAGTTTAATTTTCATAAGAATTATCATGTAGGAATGAAATACTTTTATAGTAGATGCCACCACAACTCATGGCCACATTATGATGGGTCACCAGGCCATTCAAACCAAGCTAGGTACTTTTAAGCAGTGAGATCATACATCATGTTTCTTTTGCCTGTTTTATTTAAGGCTGGATAATGCACTGAATTTGTACTCCTGAAATCCCAGTTACTATGATGTGCAAGTGTATTTAATGGTTATTTTAATACACTGTGACAGCAACATAATTATATGCTGAATGCATGTAGGAATGCAAGTACAGCTATGTTCTGCCATGTGAGTGAATTCATGTTATAAAAACACAAGGCACTCAGTGGAAAGCACTGATTCTATCACTTATTTTACTGAATTAAAAATGTTTCCCATCAGAACTAAGAAGACTGAAGCCAGGCACTCAGATCCAGCTTCAGACCAAGTAAGTTTTGAGTCAGATTGGAAGGAAAGGGTAGAGGACTGCAGTATTGAGGTTAGTTGTTGACTTTGCTATAAGCAAAAATGAAGCAAAACTGCTTCTTTGGATGTGTAAAAAAATGATCACATCAATTTTGGACTGAAGATTATGATCATTTTGCCACAATAATAAGATGCTCTAGGTGGTTGTGCTTTAAGTCAGCTGGTCCTCATTTGTTTCAAAACAATGGAGGTGACATGCACACAGTACTTTGAGATGCAAAGATGTTAGGAAGCAAAAAATCTGTTCAAAACACAAACTGATTTTCTGGAATTATCTGACAACACAATCTGCTCTTCATGAAGTTGAAGAGTCTTCTGCACAACTTGCTAAGGGACTCAGGAGGTTATGACACCTAAGCTATTCATACAGGCTATGGATTCTTCTACAGATTTGTTTTCTGCATCTACATCTTTCCCTTATCTTTGGTTTATGCTATTCTTCTGCCTGAGAATATCTTTAATTCCTACCCCCACAGTCTTCATTATCAAGACCCTTTGTAATCTATCACACCTCTCATCTCTTGCTTTTCACTGATTTGCAAAATGCTTTCACATTTTCAGCCAGGCCTGGAAATTTCTCTGTTCAAAATATGAGGAAATATTGTTCGATAACTTGTATGTTCTCTAGTTATCTGTATTGACCTTTCATGCCTTGTTTGATAGTTATGTTGTAAGGTATTTGAGACACCTCTTTATTACACTCATTGAAAGTCTTTCTGAGCACATTTTTTCTTGTAGAAATATCAGGAGAAAGCATTTATTTTCATATTTTTTATAATTTTTTTGCTACATAAAGACATTAGGATAAAATATAGAAAATGCTAGGTGCTCTCAGAAGCTAAGAATCATAGAATCATAGAATTTTAGGGGTTGGAATGGACATTACAGATCATCTAATCCCAACTCCTGCCCTGGGCACCTCCTCACTAGATCAAGTTGTTCAAGGCTTCATCCAACCTGGACTTGAACACCACCAGGGTTGGGGCATCTACTACCTCCCTGGACAAACTGGGACAGTGTCTCACCACCCTTAGAGTAAAAAAATGTTTTTCTAATATCTAATCTAAACTTCCCCTCCTTCAGTTTGAATCCATTTCCCCTTGTCCTGTCACTGCAGTTCCTAACACAGAGTCCCTCTCTGGCTCCTTGTAGGCCCTTCAGATATTGAAAAGTTGCTAAGAAATCACAGCAAAAATAATTTTGATATTCTCATTATAAAGGGGGAAAAATATTCTAGGTCATCTGGTTCCTTGTAAGTTTTGGAGAAAAACAGAAAGAAATCTAACCAGCCAACTAACCAAACAAAAATCCTTTTGTCCAGACCTCTTAATTGGATCCAGATTTGCTTAATTTCTTTTCTGTCATCAGTTCCATCTCTTCATAGATGGCTATTACAACAAATATTCTCAAAACTGAACCATAAAACCTTATTATTACAAAAACTACTGCGGTAGTTTTCTTACAATATAAAGTTCTAAATAAAGTTATCAAAGATAATATACAAGCTTATTTTTATATGTATTTTCATATACACACTATTTAATCAAATAACTTTTGGGGTCTTTTAGCCACAAATACACTAAAGCTAAAAATCAAGCTGAAAAAATGGGAGGGTTTTTTTTAGGGAATAATAAAGATATCACTTATCCAAAGCTCTAGTGAAGTTATTTTTGAAGGAAAACACAGTACCTTTATTTTCACAGGCCATCCACTGTATGGGTCCTTTGTCATAATTGTGTTGCCCAACAGAAAAGGTGAACACACGAACCTGTGCAAGTTCAAACACAATGCACATCACTATATATCATTTATTAGCTGGTGAAGCTCAAGTTAATGATACTTGGATTTTTCATACAGTCGAACACGAAAAGAAAATATGCATTTTCCAATTTTTGTCATCATAATAGATAGGAAAGATGCAATAGTTTCTAGATGATTATATTTTATGTATTACTATAATTTTCTCCATCAAGAAGAATGTTCCTTCATTCTTTTACACTTTAAAGGTCTTACATGAGTGGTTGCTCATGAAACACAGTTTTAGGTTTTTTTGCTGTGGTGGTAATTTTAACTCTTCTGGTTACATAAAATTATCTGCCTATCAACATAACATTCTTACCAAGAAATTTAAAGGAATATATACATGACAGTAGAATTCAAAGCAAAGCAAACCAGGACTTAGTAGGACCTAAAATAATTTCAGGGGGGGGGAAAATATGTAATTTTCAGATACTCCAGAAAACAAATTCTCATTTTGTTCAGACTTCTAGTCTTTTTGATGTAGAAACAATAAATTAATTCGGCAGATTTCCACAGAAAGGTTAATCTTTTGATATTTCACTTTGAACTCTTGATACACATTTGAATTATATGTTTTATAAGCATAATTCTATTCTGCAACTCCAATCTATCTCATCACCTGTAATGAGTCATGACTTCAGAGGAATTCACCAAATTCTCTCCAAGATTTGGACTGAGAACAGGTTTTTCAGCTGAAATAATTTTCCATGCCAATTACCTGATTTAAATGAGAAAAATTTTAAACCCAAACCTTGTATTGCTGTATAAATATTACAAATCCTACCAGACACACAGAAAAGGTACAATTATTATGTTTCTGCTTCTGGTTAGATATTTTGCTCCAAACCTGAGTGTTTCTGTAAAAACTGGGAAAAATATTTTCCCAGCAATTTTAATAAGCTGTTCACTGTATTCATGTCTTTCTGTCCAAGGATCAGACTTTGTTTCTTTTTCAGGCATCTCTTTCTTTATGGATCTTCAACTTTACCACTTCAATGCACTAATCACAGATCACAAATCTAAATCAGGATACAAATTCCTTTCTATGGAGCCTATGAGTATGCTTAAAATCAAAATATAATGCAATTAATTCAATGCAGGCTGTAACTGAGTAATAAGGTAATGTTTCCTTTAAATAGGATTCACAATAAAAAATTGCAGAGATTCCTTCTTAGTTCCTGATCACTGCCAAGTTTTTTAATAACTGTTTATACAAATTTCCATCACATTATTTACCATCTGCAATTAGTACCTAAACCTTCATTTCTCAAAGAAGGAACAAAAGTAATGCAACATAATCAGAGCTTAAATATTAACCGAGAGCCATAGGAATAGCTCCACATCATCCATCAGCAGCTAGCAAATGGTGAAACTTTATTAGTGTTGACCCCTATATGCAAGGAGGGCAAACAAAGCTTTGTGCTAGATGTCATTTTTAATTAACAATATGTTTTAATTTGTTTTATCCATACAAGCCCTTTGTTTCTGCAGTTAAAAGCAGAAATAAAGCAACTACTCTGCTGCACTGAATGTTGATTCAAGTGCTTGCTTTGTTGTTTGGTTTTTCTAAATACAGAAAAAATTTAAACTTTTAAGACTACTCCATACAGGGTCACTCTCCAGTAATAAGCCAATTAGACTTCTAGTTGCACAGACAGGTTTGGGACTGACTCTGCCTGTGTGATGGTAAAATTTCATTCTCATAGTTCATATGGATAAACACAGATGAAAAATGCCTTTTATTACCTTGAAAATACCAGTACTGACAGTGACAACATGACTTCATAGAATCATAGAGTTTAAGGGTTGGAATGGACCTTAGAGATCACCTAGTCCCAACCCCCTGCCCTGGGCAGGGACACCTCCTCACTAGATCAGGTTGTT